TTCTTTCTTTCTTTCTTTCTTTCTTTCTTTCTTTCTTTCTTTCTTTCAAGACAAGGTTTCTCTTTGTATCCTTGGCTGTCCTGGAACTCATTCTGTAGACCAGGCTGGGCTCAGACTCCGAGATCTGCCTGCCTCTGCCTCCAGAAGATATGTGTCACCATGGCTAACTGCTTAGTTTTTTTAAATGGCCCCCAGAGAAGCTAGGATGTTACACTAGTAACTTCAGAGGTTGATTGCACTTAACTTTAACATACATTTATTTATTTATTTATTTATTTATTTATTTATTTATTTGACATGGTCCCATGTAGCCCAGGCTTCCCTTGAACCCATTAAATTAACCAACGAAGATATTGAACATATGATCCTCTACCTCCACAGTGATAACAAGGAGCCCCCATTAATCCCAGTTTGTTCGGCCCTGGAAGTTGAACCCAGGGTGCCAACTGTACTATGCCCCCAACTCACTCTGTACTTCTTGACACTTACCCTTTTTCATTTTCATAGTTTTTAACTTTCCTTGCCAACATGGTCTAGTAAGGCTGCCTGCCTGCATCTTAGTGCAGTGGGGCCATGTGGTGCTGGGTATCCCATCAGGACAGCCTCGCTGACTTCTCCACATGGTAAAGTACCATCAGACACAAACGCTGTAGTTTTTCTCCTGGGTGTGAAGCACAGAAAAGGGATCAAGGACAGAGATTACTTACCACTTCTAGTCTAGATTAGGGCGTGGCTTATTTTTAAAAGCTTATTCTTTTAATTCTATTTCCTATTGAAATTTTTTTCAACAAACATTAGTGAGACTGTGTCTTAGATTGTACGACCCAGGAAGACCGTGCAATGTATTCTATTTTGTTCATTGCTGGTGCAAAACAGTTTCTTGAATGATGAATTTGTAAAAAGCAGTGGGCTCATACTATGCATCGAGATTCATATTCTGTATGTGTGTGTGAACGTATGCGCATGCACACGTGTAAGTGTGTGTATTTGCGTACATGTGTGATTGTGTATCCATTTCCCTTTGGAAGCTAGAGGTCGCCATTCGGTATCTTTCTCAATTGCTTTTCACCTTATTTTTAGAGTTACAGTCTCTTACTGGACCCAGACAGCACCGAGGGTCCCTCTTGTACCCATCGCTGGTGTTACAGAGGTGATCCTAGCTCTTGGTGCCAGGGATCAAACTTGAGTATTTCATGCTGTGTGACTAAGCCACCATGAGCTTTTCCTCACACTCTGATGGAGCCATCTCTCCAGCCCTGTGTTCTTTCTCATATCATGCGGTTGGCAGGCATTTCTGGTTGTTGAAGGTCTAAAAGCCTTTCTCATAGCCCTTAACATTCAGCCTTAGAGATTAATTGCTTTGTCTTTCTGTTGAAAATA